CATCGTAATTCTTGTGAAATCTAAGGACAATGCTATGTTGCTCTTGATACTTATTACTCATTGTATAGATTGATCGATATGGAGTGAAGTGAAATAATAATCGATAATCGAATGCAAAAGATAACAAATATTTGAGAGGGGAGGATAGGATTGTAGGTACGGTCATTCCAGAAGGATTTGTTTTTTAGCGAGGTAACATTTGGAAATCTTGAAATTTACATGGAACGAGCCATCAACGATGCTTTGAAATGTTTTTGTCGTTTTGGACGTACCGTATACACTGTGCCTTTGGACGTACCGTATACACTGCACTTTTCTTATCATGTCTCTATCCCAATTAAAAACTGTTGTATTCCTGTTCTGTTCCAAGGAATAGAATAGAACAGTTCTCAAACGAGGAACGTACAGGATAAAATAGAATAGAGTCGTTTTTGGAGAGGATTAGAACAGAATAGAACAGTTTTCAAAAACGTGCAATAGAGACATCACTAATCACGATCATGAATTTGCTTAAATAGGTGAGTTACGATTTACGCAATAGGCGTTTATATTAGCAGTTTTTGGAAAACAGAAGCCCCTGGTAACCCTCACAAAATCCGATGTCGGGGTCCCGTTTTTTTTTGGGATTCCCCGTTGCCGCTCAAGAGGGAGAGAGCCCGCGTCCACCCCTAATCCTGCTGTTAACAAATGATTACGTGTAAAAGACGCAAAGAAATAGTTCTCTAAATACAAACACTTCTCAGACTTTGCTTTACCGTTCAGATTCTAATATTGTTTCTCCTTGAATCGTAGTACGTTATTCCCGGTCATCGACAAGTCAGTGAATTAGTCTGTGTTGGCTCCGATTCGCAGGAGCAAAATTTTTTCCCTACTCTCATGAAATTTTCCCTACTCCCTAAAATTTAAGTATGCGGCAAATAGAAGTCGAAACACACCAACCGGATGACTATGAATGAACATTACTCCATTTGTGACTTCTTCAAATGGTTGCTTGATATTTGTCCTTAAATGATTACCGCATCGTTCACCAGCCACACATCTGACAATATGTGATGCAACAGTGAAGAGAGAGAGAGACGGTCTACCTTTTCGCAGGAACATTCGCACGATTGCACGCCTAAAAATCTTCATTCTCCAGCCAATAAGTGAAATTTAGGAACAGGAGTCAAATAAATGAAACGATTATGTTGACAATCAAATTGCATCAACTCACAATGATAATTGCCGCATCAGAAATATTTGTGATTAGCTTAATGGCGTTGTGACGCATTCTAGCCTTCTTAAAAGATCGATTCTTATGACTACTTGATAAGGTCTTCTCAAAGTGCTTCTCAGAAGTATGACTGCTTGAAGAAAGTTTATGCTAACGACAGTATATGTTTCGATCGCGTGTAATCCACGAAGATATAAAATGAAAACTGATATTCTTGAAGAATTTCTCATAAATTTGTTGAGGAGAGATTGTTGATTTCAATAATGACTTACTCATTAAATGAATCGGTGTTTTTCAGGTTGTCCCGACAGTCGGTTATAACGTCGATAAATTTACTTCTTGCAATATGACGTTTTCTGCATACGATATGTCTGGACAAGGTACAACGTTACAGTTATCTTCGAATACTGCACTCCATATTATTACTTTCAAGTGATCAGCAGCTATCAAAGATAAAGTTATTCTGATCGCTTTCAGGTAAATACCGCAATTTATGGGAGACGTATTATAAAGAAGTTGAAGGTGTAATTTTTGTGGTGGATAGTGGTGATCGATTGAGAATGGCGGTGGCAAGGGATGAACTTTGGTTGCTTCTTGATCACAAGGAAATGTCATCGAGAAAGGTTGTAGATGAGAAATTCGTGTGTTTTGATCAATGAAACATACAGTCAAATGCATTCGTTTGTTTAAAATCATATTTCATCAAGTGCGAATGATTTGGAAGTGAATTATTGTTAGAAAGTTTGAAACGACGACATTTTAAAGATTCCGCTATTGGTGTTTGCGAATAAAATGGATGAAAAAGGATCGATGAATGCATCTGAGGTGAGTCAATGCTTGGGGCTGGATTTGGTACGTAACAGAAATTGGCATATCTGTGCATCGTGCGCGATAACGGGACAAGGTCTTGTACAGGGAATCGAATGGTTGGCACAGAATATTCGAATTTATTTGGATACGAGAAAATAAAGCTTTAATTTGTTGTTGGTTAACACGCATCTGACATCGACAATAATCAACCCTAACTGATGCAATTGAACATCACTATACGAACCAGATAGCATCATAAATCTTCAGAACTTAGCAAAAAAATTTTTAACGAATCTTTCGCAATATGATTGGAAATTGAATAAACTCAACTATACACGTGAAGCACTAGCTAGATATTGTGATATTGCTGTTAAACTGATATGTCATTAGTTGATGTGTCGATTAGACCTAATTTCGTCAAATTGAGACAGACGTATAAATAGTCTGAAAAGTGGTAGGAGTGAATAAAATCATAGCATCATCAAAAATATACGTATGAACAAGGAATTATAGCAAAATCAACTGATACATAATCTGGTAAAAGAAATTCGAATGAAATAATTATTGTGATTGCTTTTGAGAGTTAATCAATGACGATAAGTGATAAAGCATCAAAATAACATTCATCGGTTATCATAAAAGAAAAGTGTTGTTTGGGGAAGCGGTTAGATAAAATGATGAACAGATAAAATTGTACATAAATCATTTGAAATATATTTCTATATTTACATTCCAACCGATATCAGTCTATACACATTGAAATGCTTCTTTCACTCACTATTCTGCTAGGCCATTGCAATCGACCATATTTTCTACATTGAAAATTTCATATCCTTTAATTAGCGCTTCAAAAACACTTCTGTTTCTGTTGGTCTGTTTCGTACATGTGTTGAAATATGGTTATGTAAACTGAGCACTACAAGAGTGCTTGTTGCTTTCACACTTTCCCGTACTGAATTCATTAATTGCACATTACGGCAGTGATTTTGATGAATTACACAGTTGCAATTTGCTGTGGTTATAAATGGTAATCGGTGACCGAAAGAAATAAAGATAGGCGTGGAAGGAATGCGAAAAAATGTAGAATCGATACTCATCTGTTCAAGTGTGTATCACCTGTCCTCACTTGCCTCATAGAACCAACCGTAATCGTGGTGTTTTATTGAGTGTTTTTAATTACACAAAAAGTTCGATATTTATCGGTGATCGGTTTCTGCTGTTTGAAATTTTTCTCAAAAAAATTGCCCTCTCTGCTATTAGAACTACTCATTTTTGCCCTTCAAGACACATCACTAGAAACGAGCAAATTCTCAGCAAAGAAATTTTTTGAATTAAAAAAGTGGTTTCACCCGACTCATAATATTCTTTCTGTAACAACTGTTTCAATCTTTTTTTTTTCGCAATTACATTTTCAAAACAATCGTTGAGTTCGTTCGTTGTTGCTATTGCTACCGTAATCACCTTTATGCTTAACGTTTCGGTTGATCCCGTAGAAATTTTGTAGCCTTCAGCGTCGTTGTTGTAGCGAATTTCCAGCGATCTGACTGGACATCTCAGAAATTCTTCTCTTGTTTCGATCGGTGCATTCATCAATCCAAATATTCTAATTGAACAGTTCAACTAAAAATGCCTTATTTGAACTATTCAGCGCATCAACACCTGTTACGAAATTCATTACTGTCCAAATGAGTAACCTCCATAGCACTGATTCGACTCACTGATCGGCTGCGAAGTACTGATAAGCATTCACCGCTGTTTCATGAGTTAAGTACACAACTTTTTTGGGTATTATGGAAGATACTCTGAAAGGGACTCTTTTCATTTGCTCAAATCCTCATTGGATCCTAGGTGCTGCCTCGATAAAGTTTCGTTCCTATGAATACATTTGTCAAGAAAAGCGTTTACGTTGACTTATTATTCAACGGCTCTTGTCACTGATTCATTATGCATTGCTTACGTGGTAGCGTTCAGTGAAAACTAATGAGCGAAGGAGAATTGCTTTGTAGAAAATCGAGGTGAATGATTTGTTCTTATTGGTTGTTTATATCACTTCTTTGGAACTGAAAATGTTTGCGATTGATCATTTTCACGCTGAAACAGAATCAGCGTATCAATTTCACTCGATTTCATATTCAGCTCAAGACTGTAGGCTGCGTTTAGTGATGATTTGCATTGGGAAAAGAAAAACAAAGGGATTTGTGAGAAGAATGGATGAGACAGACAAAAAGAAACTGTGATAGATGCATCACGAAATGAAGGTGTGAAGTTTAGATGATGCATAATAAACGTGATTGATTATGGTCAATATGTAAGACTATGGCAATAAATATTGACCTATGGTCAGAGATCTTTTAACAAGCCGACACACACACACGTATGTCACCATTTATCTTGTAATATTTCGAACGCTTCTCGCCATCTCGCAAACAATTGTTCAACAATTCATTCGCTCAACTATCAATTCTTATCTAATCCTAGCCGCAATCATCCAAATCCCCTCAAACCTTGCACATCATCAATTGATCACATTCTTTTGCCTTGCGGGTCTCTACTTGTAACCTTCTTCATGAAGTTTCTGTCATTTACACACCACAATGCACAACTCACAAAAGTCAACAACCAATCAACATCATCATGCAAATTTTGTGCATATTATCCAGCATGATAGAATTGCAGTACTGTAAGTTCAGATCTATACAAAGTGCACTATTGCAACTGTTTGGAAATTGCGTAAATTACTGTTTCTGTCCATCTTTTCAAGTTATGCTCACGCGAGAGGCTTTGATAGGTGTTCAATGACGAAATGCTTAATTATCAAATGCACTGAGAACATTGTTAACTGAGAATGTTCACATTTCTTGATGTGCTCTCGAAAGTCTCGAAGATCTCGTTTGTGTAGATAGATCAGGATTGCTTTCTGATCACAACATATTTGAATGATTTTTTATGGCAACAATTTTTCGATGTTGGAGTTGCAGCAGAGAAATTAAATCGAACAGCAGAATTTGATCTGTTAAAAAGTTGGTCAATCTGAGTTGAATGCAAAAAAAAACATTTCAGTGATCATCACCGTAGCGCTTTTCTCCAACGAATTTGAATGTTTAGAATAAGAACTTTTCGTTCGATATGATGTTGAGTTGAATAATAGGAGTTCGTGTGATGAACGATCGTTTGCATTCATTATCTTACGCTCTTCACTAACCTATCAGATTTGTCGTCTTGCCTTCAACAATCGCCTTAAGGCTACCATCGTTTTCGCTATGACGCCAAAACAGAACGTGCGCAAGTTTGCGCATTCATATCATTTCTCCACCAATGCTCTTTGATTATGGTCATTTTCGGAGATGTTTTCATTCAACTCTCTTCAGATCTTCCCTTTTAAATTCATTGTTTTAGTGTAGCGCTATTAACCAGAGTTTTGTCGAGTTAGGATTTTAAAATTACATTTTTCGTTCGGACAAAATGCGTAATCTAAAATTCATAACTGAGATATGGGGCTAGAAAAGTGCGCATTTTCGCCTTATTTTATAAGGACGAAAATAATAGTGTGTGTGTTTAGAATCGATAGTGAAACAGCCGCGCTTATCAGTCCATAGCAATGATCGATCAACAACAATATCACCGAATTACTCAATACTCATTTATCACAGCTATCTATAAATACATTGCGTCACAAAAACAATTGAACCGCTTTTCTCACGATAACTGTCTTTGTGAAGTGGTATCGCATCGCGTTGTGACCTAATATGCACTCATTAATTTTAATCGTGGCACTAAAAGACTGGCCTCAATCTGTTGAAGGACAAATTTTTGAGTAGCCATTTAGATTTTACACGATGGTTGAACGGTTGGACAACTGCATGCATATGATGGTGAAATTTGAGGAAATGATCAGCTTCATATCAGAGGGGTGAAGGAGGTGAAGTGTGCTGATCGAGAATGACCGTAAACCTTGATGAGACTCGCTGATGATCGTAGCTGATAGCAATTGTTAGTCGTGACGCAATCTCGATCGCAAAGCAGTTTAGACAATAAAGCAAAGTACTTTGATTTTTTATGGCATTTTGTTTTGTACTTTCAAATGCAATATTCCAAGTACAGTACCTTGCTAATTGCATCCGAACTAATCAGATGTGGATTTGATCAGGAGGTTGGCAATGGGTCTTCGGATAAAATGCTGCCAAAGTGAGCAAAATCGACTTTTATGCCTACGATTGCAAAATTTGTGTGAATATACAAGTTGTGTATGCAATGTATCTGTCTGGTTCTGCAGAAATTCTCTCGAACGCCGAAAAACTGTTGAATGTTGCCCAATAAAGATATATACAGTATCTTCCAAGTTATTTTTTTCACTAGGTTTTTCTCCCAATTTTGTCTTGATTCTCCATAAGCCATTATTTGGGCTTTGGATGAGATCGCCAAGTTTATCGGTTCAGAGAGGAATGCTTCCCTACAAATGACTGAGAATCTCGCCACACAAAAATGTGTTCTCTAAAATTCGTATTTGAAGGTAACGCTGACTTCGAAATAAATTATCTCGCCAAGATCTTACAAAACAAACCGATCCATGAATATTTATGAAAAATCGGTTCAGATTCTGTTTTTATATTCAGAGTTTGGGGTGAATGTTGCGTGAATGAGACTGCTAGATTCGAGCATTAATCTAACGCCTTTATTTGTTTTAATCACTTTCTATTAGAAAGCTGGATCATGTGTGAAAGTTTGTGATCGTTTAACAATTAGAAGGGTCATGAGAATAAAGGTCACTGCTGATGTATCATGGCTTGGAGTTGTTTTACTTATGCTGATCCGTCGTGTTAGCTCATTTAAGTTTTGATGGTTTACGATGCAACTGATGCTCTTTAAAGGTGAATGAATGAATGCAATTCATTGTTGGTCTTATAATTATTCTGAATATTCGGTTATGACCTTTCTCCAATTTGCATACACAAACATGGCAACCAGTCTCAGAGCAGTACAAAACAATACCTTTATTCATTGAACACATCCTATCATTTACATCTTTGTCTTAATCCGAAACTATCTATCATCTCATCTTCTCAAATGATTTGTCTCGTTTCGGTGACCAATCTCGAATGCGTTTTGTTTGCTTCTAAATAAATTTCATGTAAATGTCTGCACAATTCTGCTGCTGATGTTCCATAAGGAGAATGATTTCTTAAAACGTTCCCACACTGCATCAAATTGAGCGTGTGCATGATCTCATTTGCATCAGTCGGGTTGTTTGTTTAATACGGTAGTTATGAGGGCTAGCATTATTAGGTATTCAGACGCAGTTGGTCATGCTGCAATGCGATATCGTATTCAACATTTCTTGGAACATCACGGCCTCTAACTGCAAGAATGGTTTTCTTTTCGAAGTATCAGTTCATTTGAATTATCAATGAATAGCTTGTTTAGCCTTTTATTAAGAAGTCAATTCATACTGATAATATATGATTATTGTGCATTGATTTATGCTCAATAACCGTTTGATATTTCTGTTCGCAACGCGAAACATAAAAAATTTCATTGCATCACATCACATTGTCGAGCATCATCAATCGACAGCACACAAAACGACAATTTTAAATCGATTGTATTCAATTGTAAATGTCAAACGATTTAACACTTAACAAACATTATGAACAAATTTACAATCATTTAAGTATTTAACAATGTGCTTCGTTCATTTTAACGAATACTCAACATCTCGTCATGTTCTTCTTGTTTTCTCGTAATTGTGCAATGGCTAATTCGAATGCATCTTTGCAAGTTGAATGTTCCCGACTGATGCCACATCGTCAAATCCAAAAAATACACCTGACCTANAGAAAAATTTGAAGGGAAATATGTGATTGCAACATTTATTCTCTGTTGCGATATGAAGTGTTTTTGGTTTTGGTTTGTTGGCATCAGTTCTGCTACTTAAATGAATAACATGGTAAGCGGAAATTTTTCATTACGCTGCCAACTCGTGCATTGTAGAATCATCGCTGTGAATGATCGTTTCGGATTCGGTTAAAATTTAGACAAAATTCGATTAAGGCGTTGTTTTTTTTCAAAATGTTTACAATGACGATGAACTTAAAAAGTTATGCAAAACATATTTAATGGCAAACAGAACAATTAGAATCTTATAGCAGTTTAATTAAAGAATTTTGTTATGAAATGCCATCAGTACACGAATTCAAACATGACAGCTTAAGAAATGTCGCATTCACGGTCAATGCACACTTTTCGAATGCATCGCTCATTCTTTAGCCAGTTGATGCGTGTCACTTGTTATCTCGTCTCTTTGACCCTTTTTGAAGCTATACCGACACAACCGTACTCCTCTCTCATTACAT